GAGTTTTCATATTGGCGGAGTCTTAAAGAGCTTGTGTTTAATTATGATTATCTCTTTTTTGCTCATTTTACTTTTTGCTTTTCGTATCTGTTAGTGGCATGGAATTAGATGATAAGGAGGGATTGTGTGCTGTAGCTGGAGCTCCTCTCAGCTTTGACTCTGAAAAAAGTACCTTGAAATTAACTTCATATTTAGACAGATAACAAGTTTGTTGATCAGTCTGTTATGTTTTAACATCACTTTCAAATGATGTGACCAACAAGGCCTTAATTTCCAAAATATAAAACAGGTAATACAACTTAGTTTAAAAAAAAAAAAAAATCAAACAACACAATTAAATCAGGCGGAAGACCTAAAGAGACATTTCTCCAAAGAAGATAGGCACATGAAAAGATGCTCAACATCACTAATTATTAAAGAAATGCAAATTAAAACTACAATGAGGTATCACCTCACACTGGTCAAAATGGCTATCATTAAAAAGTCTACAAATAACAAATGCTGGAGAGGGTGTGGAGAGAAGGGAACCTTCCTTCACTGTTGGTAGCAATGTAAATTGGTGCAGTTGCTATGGAAACAGTATGGAAATGGCAACCCCCTCTAGTATTCTTACCTGGGAAATCCCATGGGCAGAGGAGCCTGGCAGGTTGCAGTCCATGGGGTCTCAAAGAGTTGGACATGACTGAGCTCACACACACACACAATAGCCTGTCATGAAAAAGAATATGAAAATACACATATAACCTAATTACTTCACTGTACACCAGAAACTCACAAAACATTGTAAATCAACTACACTTCAGTCAAAAAAAGAACACCTGGGGTAGGAGTTAACGTCCCTACTTTTAAACTCATCCACTGAGTTTTTAAATTTTGGTTACTGTAGTTTTTAGCTCTAAAACTGACACTTGGTTCTTCTTTATAGCTTTCATTTCCTTGCCGAGTTCAGTTCAGTCACTCAGTTGTGTCCGACTCTTTGCATCCCCATGGACTGAAGCACACCAGGCCTCCCTGTCCATTGCCAGCTCCCGGAGTTTACTCAAACTCATGTCCATTGAGTTGGTGATGCCATGCAACCATCTCATCCCCTGACGTCCCCTTCTCCTCCCACCTTCAATCTTTCCCAGCATCAGGGTCTTTTCAAATGATTCAGTTCTTCACATCAGGTGGCAAAAGTATTGAAGTTTCAGCTTCAGCATCAGTCCTTCCAATGAATATTCAAGACTGATCTCCCTTAGGATGGACTGGTTGGATCTCCTTGCAGTCCAAGGGACTCTCAAGAGTCTTCTCCAACACCACAGTTCAAAAGCATCAATTCTTCGGTGCTTAGCTTTTTTCATAGTCCAGCTCTCACATCCATACATAACTACTAGAAAAACCATGGCTTTGAATAGATGGACCTTTGCTGGCAAAGTAATGTCTCTGCTTTTTAATATGCTGTCTAGGTTGGTCATAGCTTTTCTTCCAAGGAGCAAGCGTCTTTTAATTTCATGGCTGCAGTCGCTATCTGCAGTGATTTTGGAGCCCAGGAATATAAAGTCTGTCACTTTATTTTATAAACTCTTTGCCAAGAGTTTCCAGCTTTTCATTTATTTAGTTCAATTACAAATATGTTAATAATTATTCATTGAAGCATCTTTATGATGGCTGTTTTAAAATCCTCATCAGATAATTTCAACCCTCGTGTCATCTCAGTTTCAGCACCTGATTTTATTTATATATGTAAATTTTAAAAATTGGTTTGCTTGAAACTGCGGGTACATTTTGGAGAAAAGAATTGGTCAGAACAGCTAAAGAAGCCTGGAAAGCAGAGAACTCATTTTGTTGCGTTTTGTTTGTTTGCTCCTAATCTTTACTTGTTTGCAGTGAAGTCAACCCCTACCCCAGGTGCTCTTTTTTTTTTTTCCCCAAACTGAAGTATCAGGAACATTATAACATAGTTACAGAGTATTTGATATTTAAGTGTGCCCATATATTTTTATTACAAATAAAAAAATAAATTGGATATCAAATTTAGTATAGTATTCTAAGGTTAAAGTAGTGACAGCTGAAACAGTCTTTGTTACTCTCTAGGTATTAATATAAAAATTCAGAATAAATTAGTAAAACTAGGCCTCCAGAATTCTGAGGATTTTATTTTTCAAGTAACATCAAGCACAATTTGATGTTTCTTTAAAAGTGAATTTCGATGCTGTTGTTTTTACCGAAATCTGGTACATGTAACTTGATCATCAGAACATTGTAATTTATGAAAATAGTTAATTTTTAAATGGTAATTGGAATATTTTGTGTCTCAGTGTCCTTCCACATCATTTCTTTTATCTCCTCTTCACCTCATTTTACAGAAACTAGATTGACAAAAATTTTCATTTTCTAGAACATAGTTTTCATTTCTATCTGAAAACCTTTAGGCCTAAGATAGTTAGGCTTTTTGTCTCAGGGTCTATATAATGAACTGGAGAAGGCAATGGCACCCCACTCCAGTACTCTTGCCTGGAAAATCCCATGGACGGAGGAGCCTGGTAGGCTGCAGTCCATGGTGTTGCTAAGAGTGGGACCTGACTAAGCGACTTCACTTTCACTTTTCACTTTCATGCATTGGAGAAGGAAATGGCAACCCACTCCAGTGTTCTTGCCTGGAGAATCCCAGGGACGGGGGAGCCTGGTGGGCTGCCATCTATGGGGTCACACAGAGTTGGACACGACTGAAGCACCTTAGCAGCAGCAGCATATAAAGAACAGTATGAAAGCCAAGTCTAGAATCAAGAAGTCCCAGTTCCTAGACTTTAGCAGCTGTGGCTTTTGCACCACTGCTATCTAGGCTTAATGTAGCTTTTTAAGAGATACCATTGAAATATTGGAAAACACTCAAGTTTTAGGTGCTGTATATTCATAATGATAAACACTTAAAAAAACACATTTTCCTCTGACTGTGATTTCTCTCAAAGGCCTAGAGAAGACCCTGGATTAGCAATGTTTCCATTCAATTCCAGAGATACTTGTTGAGCAAAAACCATGTAGTTAGTCTATTTAAATAGACAAAATAAGCTTAAGACGAATGAGTAAAAGCAGTGTTTTGCAGATATAAAGTAGGGGAAAAATATACATATATATACATAATTAATAAAACATTCAATGAGAACAGCAACAATGGTAATGTTAGGAAAAAGCATTTTTATTAGTAGATGATAAACTGTGGAAAATTCTGAAAGAGATGGGCATACCAGACCACCTGACCTGTCTCTTGAGAAACCTGTATGCAGGTCAGGAATGAACAGTTAGAATTGGATTTGGAACAACAGACTGGTTCCAAATAGGAAAAGGAGTACATCAGGGCTGTATATTGTCACCCTGCTTATTTAACTTATATGCAGAGTACATCATGAGAAATGATGGGCTGGAGGAAGCACAAGCTGGAATCAAGATTGCCGGGAGAAATATCAATAACCTCAGATATGCAGATGACACCACCCTTATGGCAGAAAGTGAAGAAGAACTAAAGAGCCTCTTGATGAAAGTGAAAGAGGAGAGTGAAAAAGTTGGCTTAAAGCTCAACATTCAGAAAACTAAGATCATGGCATCTGGTTCCATCACTTCATGGCAAATAGATGGGGAAACAGTGGGAACAGTTTCAGCCCCTCAAGATTCAGGTTGGGAGCGTGTGATTGCTATACCTCGATGTGTTGTCTTTGACTTCTTTTTTCCCAACCCCCGCTTTTTAATTTTTGTTATTTATTTATTTCCCCCCCACCCCCCACCTTTGATTTTTGCAGTGAGTTGTAAGGTTCTGCTTCCCCGCTCTTTCAGGATTTCTTCAGAAGAGGGAGAGTATTTTGATACTAGGGAGCCCAGAGGACAAATAGCCACCTCATGCATTTAATGCAGGATTTCCTTTTTGTTTAACACCATTTTGTGCATAGTTGTTTCAGTCTATAATTCCCTCATGACATACGATGTTGAACATCTTTTCATATGATCACTTGCCATTGGTGTATCTTTTTTGCTGAGGTGTCTGTTAAGGGCTTTTGCCCATTTTAAAGTCAGATTGTGTGTTTTCTTGCTTAGTTTTGAGTTTGTGTATATTGTGAATAACAGCCCTCATCACATGTGTCTGTTGCAGGATGTGCGCCTGTGGCTTGTTTCCTCGTTCTCCTGACACTGCCTTTCACAGCGGTTTTCACTTTAATGAAGTCCAGCTCATCGGCTATTTCTTTCATAAATTATTCCTCTTATACCTAAAACATCCATCACATGCCCTAGATTTGTCTAGATTTTTTTTCTCCTATGTTATTTTCTAGGAGTTTTATGTTTTACTTTGTGTCTGTGATCTGTTTTGAATTAACTTTCATGAAGGTCTTTGTCTAGATTCATTTTTTGTATGTTAATATCCATTTGTCCTAGTCCCATTTATTGAAAAGACTATCATTGCTCTATTTTACTGCCTTTGCTCCTTTGTTTAAAGATTGGTTGATTACATTTTACTGAGCCTATTTCTAGCTCTCTATTCTGTTCCACTGATTTTTTTTAATCTTTTTTTTTGTTCCATTGATTTGTCTCTTCTTTTCCTAATACTATATTGTCTTGAATACTATTAACTTTATAAAAAGACAAATCTTGTTATGAAGATAGTTGGCCGATCAAGATGACATTCAGTAACCATTTAGAACTAGATGAACTAATGACTGAAGAAGCATATAAGAAATACATAAAATCTATTGAGGAGTGAAAATGGAACCCCTAAATAAACTAATTTGAAACAAAATAACAAAAAAAGATGTTTTCTTGAAGTATGAAATTAGATTGGATGACTTTTAAGGACCCTCCTAACTCTCTGCATTCAAGTTTTGATTAGAAGTCTCAGCTTTTTTTCTCTAATGACTTAGACTTAAAAATCCAGTGCTAACTCTAATCTTGGCACATACTAATTTACTAAAGAAATGCTAGTTAAATAAATTAATTTGCAAGAATTCTTCATGGTGTCCTCTTTTTTTCTCTTGTAGTTAAAAGAGCCAAATTCCAGGGTTCACCAGGTAAGGCCAGACTTTAATTCTTACGTACTTCTCCCCATACTTGCTATGATTTAAAAACATTCTTTCAAAAAAGTGTAAATGTCATTTGATTCATTGGTTAAATTAGTTAAATTCACTAAGTTCATTAAATTCATTAAAAAGTCAATATGGAAAGATGTTGGTCAAGGGGGTGCAAAGTTATGCAAAAGGAATAATTTCTGGAGATCTGATGTACAATAATGTGTCTATGTTTAACAAATATTATATACTTCAAATTGCTAAGAGGGTGGATCTTAAATGTTCTCAACTCTCACACAAACAGAGGAAATGGTAATTATGAGGTGGTGAGGAATGTGAATATTCTTGATTATGGTGGTTATTTCACTTTGTATACATATACAAAATCATCAGATTGTACACCTTAAATATATACAATTTTTAATTGCCAGTTATACCTCAAAAAGTTGAAAAAAAACAGTGCTTTTATAAAACATCAAAGAAATCTGTATCAACCTAGTGAAAAGTTAGTCTCCTTACCTATTGGCCAACTTAGTTCTACTTCTCACAAGTAACTGTTTTGAGGTTTTTATACAGCTTTTCAGACTTTTTCTGTGTATGTGCATGTATACACTATGAATCAGCTACACGTGTCTATGTGCAACCTGCTTTTTTTTACCAACAACACATCATAAAAGTTTTTTCTTGTGTATGTGTGTGTATACATATATCTGGTTCTTTCTTTCAAAATGTTGTACACAGACTGTTATATTTAAAACAGATAACTAACAAGGACCTATTGTTAAAAAAAAAAAGTATACAGAATGTTGTACCCTAGGTCCCTGATTGAATATTCAGGTCATTTCAATTTTTTTGCCATAAGCAATGCATAATTCTTCTTAATGCATTTATTATTGCCTGCTTTTGAAAATGTATCTGTATGCTGGAGTCCAAAAGTAGAGAATTGCTGAGCCAAAAGTATGTATTTTAAACAAATTTATTAGCTGCTGCCAAACTGTGCCTCTGAAAGGTTTTGCTACCTTATAATCAGGCCAAAAGTATATAAGTGTTTATTTTCCCAAATGCTTACCAACATTAAATAGCATGAAATTTTTTAATCTTTGCTCATGTGAAGGTGAAAAGGGTATCTCCTTATCTTAATACACATTTTCTTAATTGAATATCAAGTTAGTTACAAAGACTTACTCTGATTACTGCCGGGGCCAGAAGGAAAGTACTGTGGATTATAGGGGGAAAGAACATACTGGGAACCCAAGAAAAATCGGAAAAACCAAACCTGGATGCAACAGGAACTAAACTAGTTTCTGAGCCTACTGCTCTCTCCAGTGGCTGCAGGTTAGGACTTCTCTTTCTGAGAAGCTGTTTTGCTCTCCTTTCTCTTCCAGCAGGCTTTTTATGCTTACCTGTCTTGCATATACCCCATAATAGCTACTCCAGTGGAATTTATGTGCCTCTCCTTTGAGCTTCAGCACCAATCATTTGCCACTATTTCTCTATTTTCTCTATTGAAAATCTTTTGTGAGGGAATCATATTGGTCTCAGCTTTTGCTTAGCTTATTAATTGACTGGCTGCTTTTGGGTGGCATCTCCTTTTGGTCTGGCCAGCTATGGTTGAATGTGGGGGATGGAGTATAAAATTCTATGCTAGAAAACAGCTCATTGGTATACTGCATTGCTGCTGCCAAATATGGATGAGAATTCCTTCACGTGGATGGGCTTGTATCCTCATATATCTTTGATATAACTGTAGTTATGGGTATAAAACTCGGTTGTTTTTTATGATGCTTAAGAGAAAGATTTACCTTCTAATAGAAGTACATTACAGTGCCCCTTTTCTTACACCTATAACATTGGTAGTTGTTTTAAGTGATCTTTGACAATTTGATGAATCAAAAATGATAGTCTTTTTTTTTTTCATTTTATAAAGTTATGATTAACTTCTTACACAGAAAAGTGAACTCTCAGTTCAGTGTCTCTAATCATGGCTGATACAAAGGAAGTGACAAAATGTGCTGTGTTAAGTCAGGTCAGATTTCTGAGTTTTGAGATCCAGGCCACCTACCTTTGTTTGGTACTCAGTGTATACTTTCAGGTTAGAGAATTTCATTTTCTCGAATCTGTGATAATATTTCTTTTTATGTAAGTTGTACTCTAGGCCAAGGTGAATAGATCAAGCTTGAAATCCATTTCCTTTATGACGGTTTTTCCTCCGTGTTTGTCACTGTAAACAACTGGAGGTAACTGTTTCCTCTTCTGCCTTCTTTTAGCACTTTTTCTTGTGGTACTTACTTCTCTATATATTAATTTACATAACGTCTTCTCTGTAAGATCAATTAGATTATTATTTTTTTCGAACTGCCAGTGGGCTATAAAGTCAACTTAGGTGGTTATGATTCATATTTTAATTAAATTAGAATAGAAAATACCAAGGTATCACATCTTGCATTTCATAAAGCTTTTGTTTTTGTTTTTATGTGTGTGCATGTGTGTCTGTTGGTAAAGGATAGAGTAGAGTCCTTAAATTTGAAAAACACTATTATAGCTTATGGTTTTGAGAATAGTATGTGTTTTATAATTTGTTTGTACCTCTATGTTTAAAATGATACTATATTATAGAATATATAATTTCAGTTTTTCCTTACATGTAATACTATAATTTGGACATTACTTAATTCCAAGGACTTTGTGAGATTGGATAACCATCTGAGCACTAAGTATTATATCTTTGTTTTGCATTTTTTCAAAGACAAATTTAACACATATGTGACCCTGAAAGTGCAAAATGTGAAGAGTACAACTGTAGCAGTTCGTGGTGATCAGCCTTCCTGGGAACAAGATTTTATGTTGTAAGTACTTTGCAGTAGCAGCATGCCTACAAAATTTGATAATATTTCCAAGGTAATCACATTGGATTAAACAAGTAGAGGCTAAAGATTTTGTGTATATATAAGATGTATAAAACATATTAAATATTCAAAAACACATTTTAATAGCATGTTAAGTTTTCTTTTTGAAAACGAAAGAGAGGAACAAGTGAGGTGTGTAGTAGGTACACACACCTACTACAGTAAAGTGATCTGCAGTTTTGTTCTCTCCCACATTTATAATATATTTTCAGAGATGAATTATGAATTCAAGTAAACTCTCAGTTTATATGGGTGAAAATATACCTAGTCAGATTTACCTACTAGTCAGAATTAGCTATAGTATAACTTACTTAGTATGATATTAAACCTAACTTATGTTTCTTCAATTCTCAGAAGGCCCCTTGAAGGAATGTGGTTATGAGTGTGAGGATTGTGTTTGTGTTTCTAAGTCACCTGCTTTTTTTAAATGCTCTATTCAAACTGCTGTCTTTATTTTTTAAATTTTTTTTAAAATTTATTTTTTAATTGGAGGACAGTTGCTTTACAATGTTTTGTTGATTTCTGGCTGTACAATAACACAAATCAGCCATAATTACACATATATCTCCTCCCTCTTGAGCCTCTCCCCTTAAGTCACCTGCTTTTGAAGATAAGGACATGTGCTTTTAATTCTTTTTGTTTTATGGAGTAAAATATTCTATCTTCACCTAATTAATAATAAAAATGAGTAAATGTTAGTTGAATTGCTTGCATATGACACAGAATTTAGTATATTATGATTGTGACTTTAAAAACTTGCTATTTCCTTTTTTCCTCTTAAATTTAAGCAATGTTCTTCCTGATCTAGGAAAGGAAAGTAAAACATAGGCTATCATTTCTGAAGGACTGAGCCAATCACTTAGCTTCTCTGAGTGTCAGTCTCCTTATCTGTAAAGGTCTACTCTCTTACAAGGTTATACTTCTTTTGGAGGAAGGTGGGCACAAGTGGGTCAAAAAGAAAATATATTAAAATTTCTGTGAAATTTATGATTGAAGTGAAATTGTGAGTTTTATAGTGCATCTGAGACATAGGATGACTCTCTTTATGGGGGAACATCCCAATCCTCTAGGCTTTTAATATGTTGTTCTTATAGTACCACTTAGGAAAGTTTATTATAATTCTTAAAGGTTAAGATGATGAGGGTTTGGGCTAAGATAGTAACAGAAGGATAGATGGAAGATATTAAGGAGGTAGAACCAAGGCTTGTCTTGGATATATATGGTAAGTGGCATGCTACTCAATAGGACAGGAGATACTGTATCAGTTATGAACAAGCTTATATTTGAAATTCTTACAGGGCAGGTAGGAAGAACATTACAAAAGATAGAAACTTGAACCTGGTACTCGTGGAGGAAACCTAGGCTGGAAAAATATTGTGGTCAGTTGAAGCCATGGGCGTAGATGAGAAAGCTTAGGGAGAATGTGTATGGTGAGCAAAGGGCCTGGGGTGGGGCCCGGAGAGCTCCAGTCTTTAAAGAGGGGACAAAGGGGGCTGAGAAGGAGTGAACAGAGAAGAGGATGGAGAAATGAGATAGTCGTGTCCTGGAAGCTGAAGACCTGGGGCTTCCAGGAGAGCTAGTGGTGTCAGGTTTCTCACTGGTTGCCTTTCTCAAGATTATAAACCTCATTTATTCCCTCTCTGTTGTATTGACATCAAGAGTGAGATCATGTGTTTCTTCACTCATGCAAAGTCAGCTGTAAACAGTTTTTTCAAGTCTCTTCCTTGTTTGCCATACCACAGTTCTGGCTGTGGTATATAAACGTAGCAATCCTTTCTTTTGACTTCCCTGTGGCTGTTGTAATCACTAAAATTATTAACTGTTCCCAGCATGTGAAACATAGCAATCGTCTACAGTCTCTGATCAGCATAGTAGCATTATTCTTGTTTATTTTCCAATTTCCCATAGCACTTCCTCTTTCAGCCCTACTGTGATATGTGTGACTTTTTCTCCTGTCTCCCACCTTGAGATCCTGTGTGGATTTTCTCCCCTCTCCTTTACGTGGATTTTACTAGCTGTATTACCCACCTTTCTGCTCCTATTCCTTACTCCTCCTATCCTGCTCTTCTGACACTGGCAACGCCATTGCTGCTCACGTGTCTCCCTTTCTCCTTTTCTTTTTTTCTCCCTGATATATTATGTGATAGTATCTAATGTTCATTTTGGTGTTTCTCATTTATCTTTAGTATTTATCTTATTTCCAGGAATAGACTGTTCATTCCTTAAGGGCAAGGAGGGCATCTTCACTTGTGAATTTGCCTAGCCCAGGATCTTGTATACATGTATGTACATACACTGTCAATTGAATACTATAGAGAAAAGAAGCTTCCCCAGAGCACTGGGGATGAGGCAAAACAGAGCTCTCAGACTTCTCTTAGTTGAGCCATCTGAGCAGATGTAAATAAGAGGCTTCTTATAGAAGATATTTTCATTGTTTGGGCCTTATTCCCTAGAGTTCCTTGAAGAACAGATTTTCTTTTTTATCTGCTCCAAGTCAAGCTGTAAAGACCTCTGGCTATTTTTTTTTTTTAGCTGTTGGCTTGAGATGGGGCTTCCCTGGTAGCTCAGATGGTAAAGAATCTGCCTGCAATACGGGAGACCCGGGTTCGATCCCTGGATCAGAAAGATCCCCTGGAAAAGGGAATGGCTAACCACTCCAGTATTCTTGCCTGGGAAATCCCATGGACAAAGGAGCCTGGTGGGCTACAGTCCAGGGGGTCACAAAAAGTCAGACACAACTGAGCGACTGACACCAACTTTTCATACACTTGAGATGCTACTTAGGACTTTCTTTGAGGATATTATATATATCCCTAAGTAATTTTTCTTTTCTAATTCAAAAGATTTGGGATTGTTACATTTATTTTCCAAGGCTAATCAGTTAATTAGGCTGGATGAAATGGTGTGCAAAAGCTACCTTTCCCCATGGTGACTACTGTAACATAGTAACTGGGTATAGTCACCTACTTTTTGGTTTTGAACAGCTCTCCAGATAGCTTGGAAGTTTCTCAAGAGAGGAACTGGGTCCTGTATTCTGTGTCTTTCCCAAAGTACCAAGCCATATGTATTGTATATGCTCAGGGAACTTAGATTAAATGAAAAAACTGAACTCAGTTCTTTTCTATTCTGTTGTATTTACATAAAAGGGCACATTTTCTCTGCTTTACTTGTCTTCAACATGCTTGATATGAATTTTACAGCTATAATGCCACATCCCAAACTAGTGAATCTAAGAATATCTTAATAGTACAACAGGGTAGCCAAGCTCTCTCTCAAGCATAGACTCAAAACTTCATGGGATGAATAGTTGTTGTTTTTCTAAGAATTCCATTGTGTTTTTCCTGCTGGAATTGGCCTTTTCTCATCTTTCTTGCATTTCCCTGCAAATAAATTTGTGCTTCCACAGGAGCTTTCTAGAGAATGTTTTTTAGCATTAGCATAGGGATTTTCTTGTTTCATCTTAAGTCCGTAATTATTTTTGAGATAGCCCTTCCTAACTGATATTCTTCCATATATGACGCTTGCTTCTGCTTAGTTGTCGTCTGGCTCTTTCTAGTTTCTTTTCAAATATTTTTTCCTAGTTGTTATTATAGGAAAATCATTGTGTTTGTTATTATCCTGTGATCATTTCATTTATAAGCAGCAATGCCTGCTTTAACTGATAATGGCTACTGGGTCCTGCAGGGACTGGGTGGTGTGAACTGCCACACTCTAGCGTTCCTCACTTGCGTCACCCCATGTTCTCATCAAGATTAGATGTTCTCAGGGGCCCTTTTACTTCTTCTTTGACTCCCGTTCATATATCTGGTAAAGAAGCCTTGCCTTTTCCTCAAAGTTTCCTGTCAGTTCAGTTCAGTTTAGTCGCTCAGTCGTGTCCGACTCTTTGCGACCCCATGGACTGAAGCAGGCCAGGCCTCCCTGCCCATCACCAACTCCTGGAGTTTACTCAAACTCATGTCCATTGAGTGGGTGATGCAGTCCAACCATCTCATCCTCTGTTGTCCTCTTCTTCTCCCACCTTCAATCTTTCTCAGCATTAGGGTCTTTTCCAGTGAGTCAGTTCTTCATATCAGGTGGCCAAAATATTGGAGTTTCAGCTTCAGCATCAGTCCTTCCAATGAATATTCAGGACTGATTTCCTTTAGGATGGACTGGTTGGATCTCCTTACAGCCCAAGGAACTCTCAAGAATCTTTTCCAACATCACAGTTAAAAAGGATCAATTCTTTAGTGCTCAGCTTTTTTTATAGTCCAGCTTTCACATCCATACTGGAAAAATCATAGCTTTGACTAGACAGAACTTTTTTGGCAAAGTAATGTCTCTGCTTTTTAATATGCTGTCAAGGTTGGTCATAAATTTTCTACCAAGGAGTAAGTGTCTTTTAATTTCATGGCTGCAGTCACCATCTGCAGTGATTTTGGAGCCCAAAAAAATAAAGTCTGTCACTGTTTCCATTGTTTCCCCATCTATTTGCCATGAGGTGATGGGACCAGATGCCATGATCTTAGTTTTCTGAATGTTGAGTTTTAAGCCAACTTTTTCACTTTCCTCTTTCACTTTCATCAAGAGGCTCTTTAGTTCTTCTTCTCTTTCTGCCATAAGAATGGTGTCATCTGCATATCTGAGGTTATTGACATTTCTCCCAGCAATCTTGATTCCAGCTTTTGCTTCATCCAGCCCAGTATTTTTCATGATGTACTCTGCATATAAGTTAAATAAGCAGGATATACCGCCTTGATGTACTCCTTTTCCTATTTGGAACCAGTCTGTTGTTCCATGTCCAGTTCTAACTGTTGCTTCCTGACCTTCATACAGATTTCTGAAGAGGCAGGTCAGGTGGTCTGATATTCCCATCTCTTGAAGAATTTTCCACAGTTTGTTGTAATCCATTTTCAAAGGCTTTTGCATGGTCAGTAAAGCAGAAATAGATGTTTTTCTGGAACTCTAGCTTTTTCAGTGATCCAGCGGATGTTGGCAATTTGATCTCTGGTTCCTCTGCCTTTTCTAAAACCAGCTTGAACATCTGGAAGTTCATGGTTCATGTACTGTTGAAGCCTGGCTTGGAGAACTTTTAGTATTACTTTACTAGCATGTGAGATGAGTGCGATTGTGCTGTAGTTTGAGCATTCTCTGTCATTGCCTTTCTTTGGGATTGTGATGAAAACTGACCTTTTCCAGTCCTGTGGCCACTGCTGAGTTTTCCAAATTTGCTGGCATATTGAATGCAGCACTTTCACAGCATCATCTTTCAGTATTTGAAATAGCTCAACTGGAATTCCATCACATCCACTATGTTCATAGCAATGCTTCATAAGGCCCACTTAACTTCACATTCCAGGATGTCTGGCTGTAGGTGAGTGATCATACCGTCGTGATTATCTGGGTCATGAAGATCTATTTCGCATTTTTTGTTCTTCTGTGTATTCTTGACCCCTCTTCTTAATATCTTCTGCTTCTGTTAGGTTCATACCACTTCTGTCCTTTATTGTGCCCACTTTTGCGTGGAATGTTCTGTTGGTATCTCTAATTTTCTTGAAGAGATCTCTAGTCTTTTCCATTCTGTTGTTTTCCTTTATATCATTGCATTGATCACTGAGGAAGGCTTTCTTATCTCTCCTTGATATTCTTTCTGTTCTGCATTCAAATGGGTATTTGCTTTTCGCTTTCTTCTTTTTGCTTCTCTTCTTTTCACAGCTATTTGTAGGGCCTCCTCGGACAGCCATTTTTTTTTTTTTTTTTTGCGTTTCTTTTTCTTGGGGATGGTCTTGATCCCTGTCTCTTGTACAGTGTCATGAACCTCCATCCATAGTTCTTCAGGCACTTTGTCTATCAGTTCTAATCCCTTGAATCTATGTATAAATTCCACTATATAATCATAAGGGATTTGATTTAGGTCATGCCTGAATGGTCTAGTGGTTTTCCCTACTTTCTTCAATTTAAGTCTGAATTTGGCAATAAGAAGTTCATGATCTGAGCCACAGTCAGCTCCTGGTCTTGTTTTTGCTGACTGTATAGAGCTTCTCCATCTTTGGCTGCAAAGAATATAATCAATCTGATTTCGGTGTTAACCGTCCGGTGATGTCCATGTGTAGAGTCTTCTCTTGTGTTGTTGGAAGAGGGTGTTTGCTATGACCAGTGCATACTCTTGGCAAAACTCTGTTAGCCTTTGCCCTGCTTCGTTCTGTACTCCAAGACTAAATTTGCCTGTTACTTTAGGTGTTTCTTGACTTCCTACTTTTGCATTCCAGTCCCCTATAATGAAAAGGACATCTTTTTTGGGTGTCAGTTCTAGAAGGTCTTGTAGGTCTTCATAGAACCATTGAACTTCATCTTCTTCAGAATTACTGGTTGGGGCATAGACTTGGATTACTGTGATACTGAATGGTTTTCCTTGGAAATGAATAGAGAACATTCTGTTGTTTTTGAGATTACATCCAAGTGCTGCATTTTGGACTGTTTTGTTGACTTTGGTGGCTACTCCATTTCTTCTAAGGGATTCTTGCCCACAGTAGTGGATATGAAGATCATGAGTTAAATTCACCCATTCCAGTCCATTTTAGTTTGCTGATTCCTAAAATGTCTATGTTCACTCTTGCCACTTCCTGTTTGACCGCTTCCAGTTTGCCTTGATTCATGGATCTAACATTCCAGGTTGCTATGCAATTTTGCTCTTCACAGCATCGGGCTTTGCTTCTGTCACCAGGCACATCCACAACTGTGTGTTGTTTTTGCTTTGGCTCCATCTCTTCATTCTTTCTGGAGTTATTTCTCCACTGATCTCCAGTAGCATATTGGGCACCTACCAACCTGGGGAGTTCATCTTTCAGTGTCCTGTCTTTTTGCCTTTTCATACTGTTCATGGGGTTCTCAAGGCAAGAATACTGAATGGTTTGCCATTCCCTTCTCCAATGGACCACATTTTGTCCAGAGGTATATCTTGGGGGCAGTGCTAGTATTATAATAAAACATGTGAAATTATTGCTTAAGTTTAGAGACTGTATGCAGACACTGCTGGCTGTAATGCTCTTATTCTTCTTGTGAAACTGTGTCAGTCTGCCCATGATTGTAGCTCCAAGGGAGAAGGGACAGATTGACAGAGGAAACTTTCTGTGCATACCTACGTATGTCTCTAGGAACATAGAGTGGTTGAAGCATCTTGGACATTTTGATTTTTTCCTGATGACAGGATCCTGATGAGGGTTAGCAAAACAGATATCGCTGTTTCTATTTTATTACCTGGTTTTCTAAAAAAGGGCTTTCTTCTTTCCTTAGTGAGATTAGTCGCCTGGACCTGGGTCTAAGTGTGGAAGTATGGAACAAAGGACTGATCTGGGACACCATGGTGGGGACTGTGTGGATTGCGCTGAAGACGATTCGTCAGTCGGATGAGGTCAGTCAGTGCCTTTCGCTTTGGAGGTATGGCTCTAGCCCTTGCTTCTCCTCACCCTAGCTGCATTCAGCTAATGTTCATCTGTATATTTCAGATTTTTCTGTCCTGTTTCTAACCAGAGGACATGATGCCTGCTTATTCCTAATGTTACCCAGAGGGTCAGGAGGTTTCATTTAAGTCTGGCCTTCCCTCTGCCCTGTGACTGAACTCAGGGCTGCCGGAGCACCTTTCTAGCCTTGTCAGGGAGTTCGCCCCCTGTATACTCTGCATGGCGTGTGTGTGTGTGTGTGTGGGATCGGCTGGGTGAAGGAGGGGAGCGTGAGGGACGGGGATAAGGAGAGAGAGAGAGTATGTGTGTGTGTGAGAGAGAGAGCACGCGAGAGATTGGCCAGTCTAGGAAAGCTGTGGCTTCTGAATTTCCTCTAAGATACTGTTCTGAGAAGAGTCCCCTCAAACTTTATCAGCCAGCTCTTTGAATCACCGATCCTAGGGACCTGATTTCAGTCTTCCTTCTTCTACTTACAGCCCTAACAAAGTTTAAGGAACTACAGGTTTGGCAGTTGGTATTCACACTTGACTTCATAGTGTTTTCAACACTGAATTTCCATCGCACTTTACCAGATGAAAATGTAACTCAGCATCATTTCCTATGTCACTGACTGAATGTTTTCACTATGGCCCCAGTTCAGGTCAGCTTAACTAGCAATGTTACTAGCTCTTTAGTGATTAGAAGTAGTGATGTATTAAGTGACATAATCATTTAGAATCATACAAATTAAGTATTGATCCATGGGGATGCCTTGTTTTTGAGTTTAGTGCTCTGGAAGTTCTGTCGTCGGTGGGCTGGCAGAAAGCTGAGCACAGTGAAAACTGCCTTTCCCCGGAGAGGGAGGACAGAAGCCTCCTACAGCAGAGGCGGTGGTGACTCTGGTGTGTTTGCCTCGTTAGGATATGAGTGGCCCTCAGAAGCTCTATGACAGGGAAAATGAGAGAAAAGCACATGGGCTTTTAACCGAGGGGCAGTCCTGAAAGAGTGAAGTTTAATCTTAGATCTCTGTTTTCTAGGAAGGGCCTGGGGAATGGTCCACGTTGGAGGCAGAGACATTAATGAAAGATGATGAAATCTGTGGAACTAAAAACCCAACTCCCCATAAAATTTTGCTTGATACAAGATTTGAGTTGCCTTTTGGTGAGTCTGATTTAAAAAACCATTTAACACTTTTTACATTTAATACAGTTTGAAGTTGTTTCTAGTTGTTTTATTACTGTGTCTTTTGTCAGCTGTTCTCCCTTCAGGGCATTCTGTTTTCTGTTCTCTTCCCTGTAACGCCAAGCTAGGGTGTATGCAAAGTAAAGTCTAGAATGGTGCTCGTTAAAGAGTCCACACTAAAAGCATTCTTTTCAAGTCATTTAGTTTCTTATTAACCATTCCTTATGATGACTTATAAAATACTTGTCAGAGAATATCAATGACTTATTCTTTAGATAATATTTTCACATTTATTGTCTTGAAGTTAATATATACCCTATGATTTGTCAATTTAAACATTAAAGTAGCACTAATAGAATAGTAGTTTAAAAAAATCATACAAAAATATGTACTCATTGAAAAAATTTAGATAGTATGGGAATGTATATGGATAGAAGGTTAAGTCTCTCTTCCTGCTTCCTATGACCTTTTTTGCATTCCCCAGAAATAAATTGTTGAGTTTCGTGTGTCTTGGTTTAGGCACATGAAATTTCTTCTCTAGAAATTTATTTTGACAAATTTTGGTCATACTTTATGTGGTATGTATGGTGATAGTGTTGTATAAAACATATTATCTTGGACATCATTTCATGTTATACTTATCTACCTTGCTGATCTCAATAGTTTCTTTATATCATAAATTAAGCAGTCCTTTTTCTTTTGCAATCGTTTATTGATTGACATGTAGGTTGTTTCCAGTTTTTTTTTTTTTTATTATATATGCTGCTATAATGAACAGCTTTATCTGTACCCATTAATGAGTCTAAGATAAATTCCTTAAAGTAGAATTTAAGGAATAGGTAAAAAGATATATTCATTGTTACTTTTCATCGTACTGCCAAGTTGCTTGTGTTAAAAAAAAGGGTTGTGCCAGTTTATATTCCTACCAACTATGTCTCAAGTGTCTTTTTTCTGTACATCTTTGCCAACATTTTGTAATTTCCCAATTTTTAAACATTGGTATCTTGTTTAATTACTTTTTTCAGTTTTAATTTTGACTGTTTACTGATATTCATGTATACTCTTGTTGCAGATATCAGTCTGTTTTTATCTTGTACCTTATGGTGATTTGAGCAAAAATGGCATGATTTTCCAGTAAGCTCAGAAATAACAAACTCAGAACAACTATTACTTTACAAAAAACAGAAAGGAAGACAGACTTTCTTGCATATCTGTAGGCCTAGTTTCAGGTGAAGAGAAAAACAGCTGGAGTTCTTGCTTATGGCTGAGTTGCTTGTATTCTTAGTGCTGTGTTTTTAGCTGTCCCAGTTTGGAATGGAGTTTGTCTTCTTGAATTGGGAGCGGGGTGGGTGGGGAAGGATCTTCGTTCAAATACAGCACTTAAAGTTGTAGTTGATTTTCTTGAATATGTGTTTCTTCTTCTTCTGTATGCTCTTAGGACCATTTCTAGAGACTTTCAGTTCAGTTCAGTTCAGTTGCTCAGTTGTGTCTGCCTCTTTGCGATCCCATGGACTGCAGCATGCCAGGCCTCCCTGTCCTCCAACTTTTTCACTCTCCTCTTTCACTTTCATCAAGAGGCTCTTTAATTCCTCTTCACTTTCTGCCATAAGGGTGGTATCATATGCATATCTGAGGTTATTGGTATTTCTCCCTGCAATTGATTGCAGCTTGTGCTTTATCCACCTCCACATTTCGCATGATGTACTCTGCATATAAGTTAAATAAACAGGGTGACAATGATGTACTCCTTTCCCAATTTGGAACCAGTCCATTATTCCATGTCTAGTTCTAACTGTTGCTTCTTGATCTACATACAGATTTCTCAGGAAGCAAGTAAGGTATTCCCATCTCTAAAAGAATTTTCCAGTTTGTTGTGATCCACACAGTCAAAGGCTTTGGTGTAGTCAATGAAGCAGATGTGTTTCTGGAATTCTCTTGCTTTTTCTATGATTCACCAGATGTTCTCAATTTGATCTCTAGTTCCTCTGCCTTTTCTAAATCCAGCTTGAAGATAATGAAAGTTCTCAGTTCACATACTGTGAAGCCTATCTTTGAGAATTTTGAGCATTACTTTACTAGCATGTGAGATGAGTGCAATTGTGTGGTAGTTTGAGCGTTCTTTGACATTGCCTTTCTTTGGGATTGGAATGAAAACTGACCTTTTCCAGTCCTGTGGCCACTCTGTGTTTTCCAAATTTGCTGGCATATTGAGTGCAGCACTTTCACAGCATCGTCTTTTAGGATTTGAAATAGCTCAGCTGGAATTCCATCACCTCCACTAGCTTTGTTTCTAATGATGCTACCTAAGGCCCAGTTGACTTCACACTTCAGGATGTCTGTTCTAGATGAGTGATCACACCATCGTGGTTATCTGGGTCATTAAGATCTTTTTGAGTAGTTCTTCTGTGTATTCTTGCCACCTCTTCTTACTATCTTCTACTTCTAGAGACTTTAAATGGTATTTTTAAAAAGTTCAGTTTCTCTAGAAATCGGTCAGTCCACTTCTCATTACATTTTAAGCAAGCACTCCTCTTTCAAAACTGCATCATTATATTGTGTCATAGGGAGAAATATACATTTCTTTCTAAACTTTGTTTCATGAGAGCACTTGGAAAGTTTATTTTGGTATTTGTAGTATTTGCTTGGCACATAATAGGTGCCTAATACATTTTTTTGAATAAACATTAAGGTAAAAAGTGTCTTTGTGGGTTAATGTAAGTGTGCTAATAAGGTTTTGTTTCTGTGATAACCATGTTTGGGATATAGTTTTTAAAAACTTAAAGGGGCCTTCTTAAGGAAGATTTTGGCTTGTAGCATGCCATATTTCAGCAAAGGAATTTTCCTTTGGATAATTCAGAAACCTATGAAATATTCTATTAAATTTTATACCATCATCTTTTAAAAATGCTAACTTTTAATGATTAATTAATTAATCATGTTGTAAGTTCAGAAAATACAGGTGTACAAAAAGACAAAGATTTCTTACAATCTCATTTACTAGATTTTTTTTACATATTTTTTTCAATATATGTATACAGTTTTTCCTATAAAATGGCACTGTATATTATTTTGAGCTGTTTTATTTACTAATTACATAATTATAATATTAATGTTGTATAAAATGTGTTTCAGTGGTTCATTTGCTTTTAGTGTATGAATGCACAGTAATAGTAAAAATAGCATTTGTTGATCAGTAACTGTGTGCCAGTGGGTATATCCTAAGCATTTACATATGTTATCTCATTTAATCTTCACTTTAGTCCTTTGAGGTAGACCCAAATACTAGTTCCATTTTAAAGATGAGGAAACAGAGGCACAAAGTATTTAAATCTTTTGCCTGAGATCATTTGGGTAGTAAGTGGTAAAGTTAACTTTGAGATGATTTGGCTCCAGAGCCTGGGCTTTTAATTTAAACTTATATATATTTAACCACTCCTCTTGTTGGGTACTTTGATTGTTCTAAGTTTGTGCTATTAAATAGTACTGCAATAACCATCCTTGTAGCTCTATATTTTTACTTCTTAAAACTATTTTTAGCAGTGAGGTAGTAATAGATGCACCATGGTTTAAAAACTACCCAGCAAAATTTAGGTCTCCCTCACAAATCAGTTGTCTTTCTTTGTTATAGGCTACCACCGTTAATACTTGTGGGTCTTTCCAGGGTCTGTCTTTGAATCTATAAGCATATATTTAAACCCCATCTCCTTTTGAAAACACAAATAGCACATATTCTAACGCATCCACTGTCCTTTGCTGTGTTGTCCTTAGCCGTGTGTGTATCTTGGTGAATTGCTCTATCAGAACGTACAGACTGCAGCGCAGCCGCTCTGCCTCCCGCCTCTCTTCCTTGCAACACATGCAGAGCACACCACTTTATGGATGGGGAGTGCTGAACAAATTAGTAAATTACTCCAAGGTTTTATTGTCAGGCTTTGAAATAGTGTCACCAAGTGCTGCAGAGTAAGTAGTTTGAGGGGAAGGAGGTGAAATTTTGCCTAGGAAGGACAAAGGAGAAAGGCTGTGTTTGATTCCTTCTTGTGGACTGCTGGAAAGTCTACCTGTTTAAATGTCACCAGAGCTGACCTGAGCCACATTTTGTCTCAGACTGGGTTCTCTTTTGTGCTGAATATATGGATATTTGACGTTTTTAAAAGATGTTTCATTTTTTTAGAAGTTGTTACATTCAATCTTAAATATATAGAAAAAGGCTATGTATATCATTTTTCTTTGCTTTTTTTTTTTTTTGTGGTAGAATACACGTAACATAAAAGCAAGTACCTCAGCCATTTAAAATATACAGTTCCGCGGTGTGAATACATTCATAGCGCTGTGCAACTGTCACCACTATTCATATCCATAGCTCATTTCATCTTGCGAAACTGAAGCTCCCTACCCATCAAACGGTAACTCCCCAGTCTCCTCTGCCCCTAGCCCCTGGCAACTGCCATTCTTCTTTCTGTCTCTGATTTTGACTTCCCTGAGTACCTTCTAATGGTGGAATCATACAGCATTTGGCTTTTTTGTGTGTGACTGGTTTATTTCACTTAGCCTAGTATCCTCAAGGTTCACCTATGTTGTAGCATGTATCAGAATTTCCTTCCTTTTAAAAACTGAAAAGTATTTCCTAGTATGTGTATATCACATTTTGCTTATCTAGTCATTCATTGATGGGTACTAGGGTTGCTTCCACATTTTCACTATTGTGAATAATGTTGCTATGAGCATTTATATTTCTGCAAAAAAACTGGGATTTTTAATAGCGACTGTGTTGAATCTATAATTGCTCTGGGACTTACTGACATATTCATGATTTTAAGTCTTCTGATCCGATGGGAATAATGATATATTATTTTAGTTTTTGTGAAGATTCAAGATAATGTTCATGGTAAGAACATGTAAAATTAGTCTGTCACTACCACCCTTCTAACTAGGATCATTTAATAAAGTATTATCTACCTATGATTAAATTGTTACCCTGGTAATATGGCTTCTTCTTTTTTTGTGATAGATATCCCAGAAGAGGAAGCTAGATATTGGACCTACAAATTGGAGCAAATCAATGCCTTGGGACCTGACAATGAGGTAGGAACTATTTTTACAATGTGAAAGCAGAAGTTGTTCAGTTGTGTCCAACTCTTTGTGACCCCATGGACTCTATAGTCCACAGAATTCTCCAGGCCAGAATACCGGAGTGGGTAGCCTATCCCTTCTCCAGCGGATCTTCCTGACCCAGCAATCGAACCAGGGTCTCCTGCATTGCAGGCAGATTCTTTACCAGCTGAGCCACCAGGGAAGCCCCAGAATACTGGAGTGGGTAGCCTTTCCCTTCTCCAGGGGATCTTCCCAACCCAGGAATTGAACTGGGGTCTCCTGCATTGTAGGCTCTTTACCAGCTGAGCGACCAGGGAAACTTACAATGTGAAGAGTGTCTGTGTAGGACACTTAAGGGAGTGACTTGGGAATATGCTGAAGAATGAAAGAATTTAAACTGTATTGAAGAAAAAAAGGTAGCTAGAATATTGCCTGTTATTGGAAATATCTATCCATTTTTTTCTTTTCTTCCAATTGTCCCCCAGAAGTGGCTGAATTGGCACTAGTGTGACTCTAGACTGTTGAGGAGCAAGCTTATACTAGGGAATCTGTCCTCTTGGAACAGAGATGGGCAGAAGGCTTTTTTCCTGTTCATTTCCAGATTTTTGGATATGTATCCTTATTTATGTGCTGTTGTTTAGACTACCACATTGCTTAGTTCTGCTCTCCTAACTTATTTCCAGAGGTGAGGTTGGTGCACAGAATAGAACACAGTCAGCTCAATCTGGGCCATTAGGAATGGGGAATGTTTTGTTGGTGGTAGCAGAGGGAAAAGGTAAGTTTTTTACTTAGGACATGCTGGGCTGTTAGAGCATTTGTCTGATTAGACAGAGGTAGAATTTGGAGTTGTTGTTGAGTCTCTAAGTCGAGTCTGACTCTGCAACCCCATGCACTATAGTATGCCAGGCTTCCCTGTCCTTCACCATCTCCCAGAGCTTGCTCAAACTCATGTCCATTGAGTTGGTGATGCCATGGAACTATTTCATCCTCTGTTGCCCACTTCTCCTCCTGCCTTCAATCTTTCCCAGCCTCAGGGTCTTTTCCAATGAGTCAGTTCTTCACATTAGGTGGCCAAAGTATTGGTGCTTCAGCTTCAGCATCAGTCCTTCCAATGAATATTCAGGGTTGATTTCCTTTAGAATTTGGAGTGCGAGGGTATATTTTTGTGGAAATGACTGGTAAGCAACCTCCTGACAGAATCTGAAGCTCAGGATTGGATGAGGTCAGGCATAGAGTTTGGATTTATCAACGTATTTATAGCAATTGAAGTCATAAGAATAGAAGCACACACTCAGGTAAAGTAGGTAAAACGAGTATTGAAGAATAGAGACAAAACTTTGGGAAACATCGAAGATAGAATCTTGAGAAACAAAGAAGTCTGAGGAAGAGCTGCCTAAAAGAGAGGGCATGCTAAGTCACTTCAGTTGTCTGACTCTTTGCGACCCTATAGACCACGGCCCACCAGTCTCCTCTGTCCATGGGATTTTCCAGGCAAGAGTACTGGAATGAGATGCCATGCCTTCCTCCGGAGAACCAGAAAAAGGTTTTCAGAACAAAGAAAAAGAGTTTTAAGGCAGAAATTCTTGACAGTGTGAAATATCACCAAGAGTGATTTGATGAGTATGTTGGTTTCCCAGGGCTGCCAAAACAAAGTAGCACATACTGGGTGACTTACAATGACAGAAATATATTCTCTCACACAGTTCTGGAGTCTGAAATTCTGACATCACTTTTGGTGGGATCAATGTCTTCTGGAGGCTTTGGGAAGAAGCTGCTCCATGCTTCTCTTCTAGTTTCTGGTGCTTCCCAGCAGCCTTTGCTGTTCCTCTGCTTGTCAGACACATTATTTCAGTCTCTGTCTCCATTGTCACATGCCTTCCTGTGTTGTCTGCCTGTCCTCACAAAATGTTCTCTCTTTTTCTGTTTGTATTCAAATTTCCCTTCATTTTCTGGGCATACCAGTCATTGGATTAACTCGATTACATCTGCAGGGAGTCTATTTCCAAATAAGGTCGCATTCATAAGTACTGAGACTTAGGAGTTCACAACATATCTTTTTTTCTTTTTTAAAAATATTTATTTGATTGTGTCAAGTCTTAGTTGCTGCATGTGGGATCTAGTTCCCTGACCAGGGCTCAAACTCAGGGCCTCTGCATTGGGAGTGCAGAGTCTTAGCCACTGGACCACCACGGACGTCCCCACAACATACCTTTTTGAAGGACACAATTCAACCCACAATGAGTTGACTCAAAGATGAAGAAGTGGTCCAAGGATGAACTACTCTTTTCAGGGTTTTTCCTTACCTTATCTAAACCTTTAGTAGGCTTTCTGTTATTAAAGCTGCATAACCTTTCTCATATCCAAGCCAGCACCCTAACTTTTCTTCATCGAAAGCTTCAGTCTGCCTTGGTAAATGCCAAAATCCACTCTGTCTTTATATCCACCTTACCCTTTGTATTTCTGTTTTCCTAAACCCTGCCTGTGGAGTGGTATACAGCTTTCCAAACTTTGATCTTTGTTTTCCTAGTAAAGAGATGCATTGTATTTTTTATTTTACAAGCTTTACTTTATGTAGAATCAGATGAACGGGTTAAAATAATTAAAAAAAAAAACCTACAATGTAGGATACACAATTGTAGAATTTTCCAAGTTCTAAAAATGATGGTTCTTGGTCTATAGTTTCAACTCTTGAGTTTTTTGCTTTCTGTTTCTATTTTAGTATATGGCGCTCACTAAGTTTATTTTCTTCATCCGTTCCTAGGCCTCCCTGTTTTTTTTCAAGTTTTATTGAAATACAATTCACATAGCATATAGTTCACACATTTAGTAGCTTTTAGTATGTTCAGCGTTGTACGTTTATCACAATTTTAGAGCATTTTCATTGCCCTGTAAGAAGTCCTGTGCCCTTAGCTATTATACTCTAATCCTGGGAGTATCCTTCTCAGACCTAGGTAACCGCTAATCTACTTTCTGTCTGTGTACATTGGCTTATAATAGATATTCATATAAATGGAATTATATGATATATGATCCTTTGTGACGGTCTTCCTTTACTTGACGTATTTTCAAAGTTTCTTCTATCTTGTGGCATTTAACAGTACTCTGTTCTCTTCCATTGCCAAATAGTGTTCCCCTCTATAGTTATATACTATGTTTTATGTATCCATTTGTCAGTTAATGAACACTTGAGTTGTTTCCATCTTTCTATTAATATGGATAATGCTTTTGTGAACATTCAGGTATAAGTTTTTGTTTGGACATAACACTTTTAATTCTCATGAGTGTATACCTGGGAATAGAATTGCTGGAAAAGATGGTAACTTATAGTTAGCAGTTTTAGAAACATCCAGATTGTTTTACAAAGTAGCTATACCAGTTTACATTCCCACCAGTACTTTATAAGGGGTCTAATTTCTTCATATCTTTGCCAACATTTATCTGTCTTTTTGAACAGCCCTTCTAGTGGTTAAAAGTGGTGTCTCATTGTGATTATTAGTTTATTTAAAGGCTTTTTTTTTATTATCAAAAGTCTTGAACATGAAAAATATATAGAAATAACTTCCCTCTTTTGCTGGAGTATTTTAAAATAAATCCCAGACATCATCTTCTCTGAAGTATATATCTTTAACAGATAATGCCTTAAAAAATAATTGCAGTGCCTTTAGCACATTGAATTTAACCATAATTTCTTACTAATCTGAGTTCAGTTTTCCATTAGTGTCTCAAAGATGTCTTTTCACAGTAGGTATATTCAATTCAGGATCCAGGCAAATTGTATGTATTTGGTTACTATATTTCTTAAACCATTTTTATTCTATCTAGAATTGGTTTCCTCTTCTCTCGTTTGTTTTATAGAATTCCACACATTCTGGATTTGGCTGATTATGTCCCCGAGGTCTTATTTACCATGTTTCTCTAGCCCTGTTATTTTTTTTAAACTGAAAAACTATATCTAGTAATTTGAGGATTAGATGGAGATTTAGATTGATGTTGTTTTTTGGTTTGTTTTGAAGGCAGATTGTGTCTTGACTCAGTTTTAGTGATGGTAGAATTAAACAGTGGATTCAGCTTGGTATCAGTCTATTTCATCTGTTATAAAGTGATCCCCCCAGCCATTTACCTAATGGTTTTAGCAACAAGTAATAATGATTATTTTATTAGGGTTGCACAGTGATATTTTTCTAATTATATCACCTCTTCAACATTTACTCACTATGATTTGTCTATAAAACAGCTTTCTCTCACCTGCTATTTGGTTCACTTGAAATAAAGTCTGTGTAAGAAAAACATTCCCTTTAGCAGTTTTCAAATTAATGAGCTGTTGCATAAGCAGCTTCTCAAGGTGACCTGTGCATTGTTTTCCTTTTTCTAATGACATATAATTATCAATTTATGAATTTTTATATATCTGTGTTTCAACCCATTGCAGTCTTTGCTCTTTTTGATACTAAACTTGTCTCATCTTTGATTAGTGGAATCTTCTTGGTTTCTTTTTTCTATATCATGAAAAAGTTTTAAACAAAAATATAAAAGTTGAAGGACTAGTAACATGAAACCTGTACACTTATCCCCAAGATTCAGTGATTATCAAAACTTAGTCAAACTCACTGCAAAATCATTTTAAAGAAACAATGTCAAATCTTATATTTTTCCCCCTATGGTGTGCAACAGTTCCCATACACAGCAGCCTCTTGGTCAAGACTGACCTTGGAATCTACCACTTGAGCTTAAATGTGTCACTGTTTATTACTGTTTCTACTCATGGAAAATTAGGTTTTCACTATTATAAATGCATGCTTCAGTAAACATCTCTGAGCCTGTTTCTCTATGCTTGTGTATGGGAGATTCTCTGGGTATATACCTGGAAATGGAATAGCTCTGCTGTGGCATGTGCTCTATGCAACATTACTAGATGTTGCTAAATTGTTTTCTAAAGTAATTGTGCCAATTTATATTCTAGTTTTCCTGCTTCTCTATATTTTTACTAATAC